TAGAGTAGAGTAGAGTAGAGTAGAGTAGAGTAGAGTAGAGTAGAGTAGAGTAGAGTAGAGTAGAGTAGAGTGGAATACAGAGTAGAATGGAATGGAATATAGAATATATAATAGAAGAGAAGAGAATTAAATAGAGTAGAGTAGAATAGACTACAGAAGAGAAGAGAATTAGAGTAGAATAGAATACAGAGTAGAATGGAATGGAATATGGAATATAGAATATAGAATAGAATTCTTTATTGGCCAAATGTGATTGGACACATAAGGAATTTGTCTTTGGTGCAGATGCCCTCCGTGTAAATAAAGAAAAATAAAAGAGAATGCCTATATCAAGAATCAAAGATACAACACTTAGTAATAGTCATAGGTTACTAATAAGTAATCAAATTGTATTAAGAAACAAATAAAAACAATATAAATTGTAAAGATACAGGCAACATGTATATAGCCATAAGTGGGAAGAGATAGGTACTAGGAAGGAAGAGAAGAATAACAGTAATACAATCTTAGTAGATAATTTGACAGTGGTGAGGGTTATTTGTTTAGCAGAGTGATGGCATTTGGGGAAAAACTGTCCTTGGTGTGTGTGCAGTGCCCTATAGCATCGGTAGGAGTTGGAATTTTTTATGTCCAGGTCATCATTGGTGACCTTTCCAGACAGCTTCCGACAAGCAAAGTCAATAAGGGAAGATGGATTCGCTTAACGACCATGTGATTCACTTAGTGACTGCAACAACCATGGGGAAAAAAGGGTTGTAAAACTGTGCACTGGCTTCCTTTTAACCATCTCCTTGCTTAGAATGGAAATTCTGGCCCTGAATGTCGAGGATTACCCGCAAACTCTTGATACACACACAAACACAAACATACACACACACAAACACACACAAGTTTACATGTAAGCAAGGGACTTACCTTCTATTAAAAAAGCCGTCTTCTGGTTTTCCTCAAATTGTACCTGGATGGCATTCAGAGGCAATTCACCCTGTTTGTAGGAGGGGGGTGGAAAAAATCAGACCCTGTTTGAAATACCAAAACTCACCTGGATGGATTTTACACAGTTGTTCCTTGCCCAGCTGTAAACACATAAATCCAACTTTTCAAGCTAAAATCAAACCCCTTTTTGCAGCCTGATTAAGCAAGGGTGGATTAACAGAGTTGGAAGGGACCTAAAAGGTCATCTAGCCCAAGGGTCACCAACTTTTCGGACCTCGAGGGCCACTAAATTCATAATTTTAAATCTTGTGAACCATTAATACGATCTGCCTAATGACTGGCAGGGTGGGCGTGACTGGGAGGTCATGTGACTGGGTGGGCGTGGCCAACTCGAGGTCACTCATGTCGAGGGGCGCCTTGTCGATCTCCACTTGCCCCTCCCCTGCCAGCTATTCCTCGCCTAGGGCCCCAACAGGAAGCAGTTGCTGGAGCTAAGCAGCCACCAGGAGAAAGAGTTGGCAAAACAGCTCAGTTCAAATTGGATCTGACCGAGGAGGAGGCTCAGCAGAAGCGCCTCACTGAGGACTAGGAGCATGGGCTTTCCAAGCAGAGGGAAGACCTGTGGGAGTGCAGGGCCAGGTACTGGCGGCTGGAAGTTCAGTGGGCTGAAA